GTGTGCCTCAGGCTCTTTTCTTTCCTTCCCTGTCCTCACTTAAATAGAAAGAAGTATAGAGGTTATATTTTTCTTTTTTTAATTTTTAAATTTGTTTTTGAGAGAGAGGAAGAAAGCAAGAGAGCAAGTGTGAGTGGGGGAGGGGCAAAGAGAGGGAGACACAGAATTTGAAGCAGGCTCCAGGCTCTGAGCTGTCAGGGCAGAGCCCAATGCAGGGCTTGAACCCTTGGACCATGAGATCATGACCTAAGCTGAAGTTGGACAGTCAACCAACTGGGCCACTCTGGTGCCCTGTAGGCTATATTTCAAACAGGTAGATGACATATACTATTTATCCTGACCACAACCTGGGAAAAAACTCATTTCAAAGTAATGCAGAGGAGTTTTTCCTCTTTTCCTTTTGGTAGCATAGGACAGAATTTGGAGACAGGGTTGGGAGAATGATGCGATCTTCAGTCTCATATTGCACGGCAAGCCAATAACCCAAGGAAATGGTGAACTGGGCTATTCCCCCTTGGGAGGTACCTTGGGAGGTAACTGGGCAGCTGAGTGGGGACTGGGGAGATGCTAACAGAGGAGGCACCTAATTGACCTGTCAACTGTGTTATCATCTGCCATTGTCCACAAACTATCAGACAAGGCCATCACCTCTGCTTCAGGAGCTTGTTATCTTTTATCTTCTCACAACTTCTTTTTCTATTTAAGGCTGATTTCCATGTTTATTTTAAACAAATTTCTTTACATAAAATTAGCATTAATATGCCCAGCACCCCAATCCTTTAGAGCTGCTCTAGCTGTTAGATCATGTGCCAGCATACACTCAGTGAATGAGTTGGTGGGTTTCTGCTGAGGAGACATTTTATTTTATTTTATTTATTTTATTATTTTTTTTAAATATTTGTTTATTTTTGAGAGAGAGACAGAGCGTGAGTGGGGGAGGGACAAAGAGACAGGGACACACAGAATCCAAAGCAGGCTCCAGGCTCTGAGCCATCAGCACAGAGCACGCGTAACTGACTGAGCCACCCAGGTGCCCCAAAGAGTAGACATTTTATATGTTGGATAGACAGGTGATGGCAAGCTATCTTTTAAAAAAAGACCATTTGGGGGGCACCTGGGTGGCTTAGTCGGTTAAGCGTCCGACTTTCGCTTAGGTCATGATCTCGCGGTTCGTGGGTTCGAGCCCCGCATCAGGCTCTATGCTGACTGCCAGCTCAGAGCCTGGAGCCTGTTTCAGTCTGTGACTCCCTCTCTCTGACCCTCCGCTGCTCACACTGTCTCTCTCTCTCTCTCCTAGAAATAAATAAAAAACATTAAAAAATATTAAAAAAAACATTTAAAAAAATATATTTAAAAAAAGACCATTTGGTTAGAAAGCCCAGAAGAAAAATGATTACTTGTAGATGTTATCATTCACAATCATTGAAAAGTTACACACAAGTACTGTTGATGAAGTCATTAGCTCTTTCAACTGTAAACAATAAAAACTTAAGAGTGTCATCAACAAACTCCATCACAGTAAGACTTTGATACCTCAACAGTGACTTCTTATTAACCCATGCTTCATTCATCTTTTCTTACGTGGTTACCTGAAAGACTGGTCTACAATTTCCTTTCCTACTTCCTCACTTCCCACATCCTCTATTAAATGGACTTTTAAAATATGAAATTATAAGCATAAGGAAGATGCAGTTCTTACTACCAAGCTCTACTGAACAAGTGTCTCTTTATACTTAAGGCTGTATTTTCAGCAATAAAGCAGTACTGATACAGTTGGAGTATCCAGTACCTCCCTTAATTCTATTCTGTCCTTCTCAGTTCTGCTATCCAGAACTTGGTATTTGTCATTCTTATACATGTTTTTAAATTCCACATATGTTAGTAACCACAAGGACTATGTGATATCATTTTGTTTTAAACTTCACAAAATTTCTCATGTTGCACACATTCTGTAGCTTGCATTTTCCCTTTCAATTATTTGTTAGGATTTATCCAGATCCATAACTGTCACTCTAGTTAATTTATTTTCATAGCTTCTAAAGCTGAGGTCAGCAACTTCTTCTATAAAGGGCCAGGGAGTGGATATTTTAGGCTTTACAGACATATGGACTCTGTCACAACCACTCAACTCTGCTATTGTGGGAAAGCAGTCACAGACAATTCAGGAAAAGGTGGGCCTATGTACGAATAAAACTTTATTTTTAAACACAGAGATTTGAATTTCATGAATTTCACATGTCACAAAATACTAAACAATTTTTTCTCAACCAAGTTAAGATGTAGAAACCATTCTTAGCTTGCAAACCACAGAAAACAAGCAGTGAGGGGCGCCTGGGTGGCTCAGTCGGTTAAGCCTCCGACTTTGGCTCGGGTCATGATCTCACAGTTTGTGGGTTCGAGCCCTGCGTCGGGCTCTGTGCTGACAGTTCAGAGCCTAGAGCCTTCTTAGGATTCTTTGTCTCCATCTCTTTCTGACCCTCCCCTGATCACATTGTTTGTCTCTCTCTCAGAAATAAATAAAACATTAAAGAAAAATTTAAAAAAGAAAAAGAAAACAGGCAGTGGACCAGTTTAGTCTATGAGCCATACACAGTCAACTCCTAGTCTAGAGCATTCTATGTCTGTGGCTTATTAATATGTTTCTTTGTTATTGGACATTAACAATGAAACGGAATGAAAATACTGTGGTGGAATACTACAGATATCTCAGATAAAGCTGGCTAGTTCTTCATATCTTTTATGATGTTTAATCATTTATGATAAAACTATGTTTAAAATGTCTATAAAAATTCTCCTTCAGACTCTGTGCTGACAGCTCAGAGCCTGGAGCCTGCTTCAGATGCTATGTCTCCCTCTGACTCTCTGCCCCTCTACCACTTGCTCTCTCTCTCTCAAAAAAAAAATTAAAAATTAAAAAAAGTATTCTCCTTATATATTGATCAGTTCTTGTTTCATGTTTTCCAACGTTATGCATTCAAGACATACAAATTGGCAATTGTTATATCTTCATAATGGATTGTTTCTTTTATTATGATGGAGTGTTCAAAATTAGCCCTTTGGACACTTTTTGCCTATAGTTTAGTTGTGCCTTATTTTAATCTTATTATTCCCAGCTATGTATATTCCAATACTTTTAGTTTTCAAGCTTTGTGTGTGGTCTAGTTTTAGGTGTGTCACTTGCAAATAGTGTGACTCTATTCTGTAATCACTCTGCAGGTGAGCTTACTCCAGCTGTGGTGTGGTGGTTAAGAGCATGCGCCAGACCACCGGGGTCCTAATCCTGGTTCTTCCATCATCTCTGTGTGACCCTGTGCAATTTCTTTCATCTCTTCACACCTCAGTCTTCTCATCTGTAAACAAGTTGAGGATAATATTAGCACCTCATCATCATTCTTAAAACAGTGGTTGGCATGTAGTAAGCACACAGTAATTGTTAGCTCTTAAAATTTTTTGTGTGTGAGGGGTCCTGGGTGGCTCAGTTGGTAAAGTGTCCATCTAACTGATTTCAGCTCAGGTCATGATCTCACAGTTGGTGGGATCGAGCTCCACGTAGGGCTCTGTGCTAACAGTGCAGAGCGTGCTTGGGATTCTTTCTCTCTGCCCCTCCCCCACTTGTTCCCTCTCTGTCTCTCTCTCTCTCCTTCTCTCTCTCTCTGTATCTCTATATGCTTTCTGGTGTCTACCATCGTCAGTGGGAAATCTCTTGCCTGTCTACTGTCATTCTTTTGTAGCTTATATATCCCATTTTTCTGGTAGTTTTTAATAATATCTCTTCATTTTTCACAGCCTGAAGTTTTATATGATGTATTTATATGTGGATTTGTCTTTATTTACACTGCTCAGAACATCTAACACTCTTCTGATGTGACAACTTACTTTTGTTGATTTTGCAAAATTCTCGGTCACTTCTCTTCAAATATTATTTCTCTGCCTATCCCTTCATTTTTTCCTTCTGGAACTCCTATTATGGAGTTGCTTAACCTGTCTTCTATTTCCTTCTCCTTGAATTGGATTTTAAAATATATTATTTCTTTATCTTTTTATATTGTACATTGGGTGAACTACTCAGCATTATATTCTAATATGTAATTAACCATATCCAGTTGAGAGTTTGAAAAAGGAAACTTATATCTTATTCGCTTTTTATTAGCCCAACCAAGCCTAGTCCAATGCCTTTTATATAGAAGTTATACAATAAATATTTGCTGATTAAATATAGAAAACACCTTACGTATTTCAGTATTTAATTTTTATATACATATAATTTTATTAACACCCAATTATCACATTTTCATATAAGGAAAAGATACCTTATAAACAAATTTGCAACTTAACTTATAAAGCAACACATTATTATATTAGGTTCTGTCAACACAAACACATTTTTTATGCAAAGTTAGAAAGTTAGTTTTGTTGTGATTTGACTTTAGGGCTCCCCAAGTCTTGTTCTTCTTTTGCGGAACGCTTTTGGGATGCTCTGGCAGAACTCTTAGCTTACAGGATGTTCCAGACAGCCCTAAATTTTTGGCCACTCTATTATTTGGTCATTTCTGTTGTGCCTTTTGTCATAATTTTATGGTAACTATATCCTGGTCTAGTACAGGGTAAGAATGTTCTCCATTTTGCTCCCAATGCCTTATTTGCTAGTGCTGAGTAATTTGTGTCATTCAAAGCAGCCCATGGAAAGATGACAGCAGTGTGCTGTGCAAGCAGGCCATTCTCTTTTTAGTGGGAAGGTACCCTCAAGTAGTTTTCCCTGTCACTCATACCAGATGAATCTCTCCTCTGATTTCTTCTGGCTATAATCTGAAGTACATTTATTAGCTCAGGATTCACAAAGTACATAAGGAAAGATGCTAGAATCCTTTAAACATGTTTGAGGATATTGGGTTGCTTGACACAGCCAGTTAAACCAGTAAGGTCCCATAAAATGGTTATAGCTGGTGCAGTCTAACGATCAGAAAGGGCCAGAAGCTAATTCGTGTAAGAGCTTCCCAACGATGAGCCCAACTCTCAGCAATACTGTATCTTCCCTGCAGAGAAGTGGAACATTTATCAATTCTTTAATTGCTGCTTTGACTGTTGGTGGGCAACAGCTGTTCTCTTCTTTCACATTCAGATGTCCTTGTCAGGTTGGGAAAAATTTCTACTACGGTTCTGCTTTTCTACTCATTCCAGCCTTGATCCTTCTGGTTGCTGGCTATGCTCTGAGAAGCCAGATGTGGACAATTAGCAGTGAATACTGCTGCAGCTGTGCCCCGCCACACCGGAGAATAGGCCTCTTGGAGCGCAAGCTGGCTTGCCTCAGGTTCTTCAGCATCACTGGGAGGGCCCTTGTTGCTCCATTAACATGGCTGGCGGCAACCCTGCTGACAGGCACCTACTTTGAATGTGCAGCAAGTGAATTCGCGTCTGTGGACCATTATGCGGTATTTGACAATGTCAGTGCCAGCAAACGGGACCAGATCCTCGCTGGGTTTCCATGTTGCAAAGCAACTCCAGCTGACATGATCCGAGTAAGAGATGAAATAACTCTTCTGCACAGATACCAGTCACAAGTAAGTTCTTGATTTTTTTTCCTGTTTGTTTTGTTTTGTTTTTGCTATGCTATCCCTTCTTAACTAGTCACTGGAAACATTTCACATTCCTACTACTTTTCATATTGTCTGAATATAAAACGCAAACTAGATGCTATTCACCAAAGTGATTTCTACTGAGTGCCTATTTTATATAGTTAGGATGTTGGGCTTTGGAGTTGGCAGATCTGTATTTGAGTCTTGCTTTGCCATTTGTTAACCTGCAGAACCTTAAGCAAGTTACCTATCTGACCCATGCTTCACTTTCCTCAGCTGTAAAATGGGGATATTGATAGGATCTACCACATAAGGTTGGATTGGGTAATAAATGAGCGAATACATCTAAAGTGCTCAGTATGGTATCCAGAATCTCTATTAAATACAATAAATTTTAGACATTGTTATTAAAATTATTACTATACACTGTATTACTTAATTCCATCTTTCTGCATATACATGTTCTTAGATATTCATTCTATGTATTAACATTTTGCCTAAAATTATAGGAAGCTTAATTATGACTAAAATAGGGGCACCTGAGTGGCTTAGTCGGTTAAGCGTCCAACTTTCGCTTAGGTCATGATCTCGTGGTTCATGGGTTCAAGCCCCGCGTCAGGCTCTGTGCTGACTGCCAGCTCAGAGCCTGGAGCCTGTTTCAGTCTGTGACTCCCTCTCTCTCTGACCCTCCCCTGCTCATGCTGTCTCTCTCTCTCCTAGAAATAAATAAAACATTAAAAAAAAAATTTAAAAAAAATAACTTTTAAAAAAAAATTATGACTAAAATAAATTCCAATGATAGCTCTAAATTTAATATCCTTAGACAAATTTATGTGAAGGGAAGGGATGAGGTAGGGAAAAGGCCTGAATCCACAGCACTTAGAGGTTAAATTTAAGAAGTGTAAGAGTGTATTTTGTCAATACAGAAAGAGTAACTGGAATACATTACTCTCTGCAAGAGATTTTGGGGGAAAAACACATTTTAAAACCACTGAAATAAAATTGAAATAAATTATTTTAAACTACTTATTGCAAAAGCATACACATTTTTTGACCCATCACTTTTTAGTTATTGAAATTTAGGAAGTGATAATGCTATTTTGTTGAAAAAAAATTGCTATCGACATACAAAATACTCAAGCATTGCATATGTCCTGATTTAATCAAAGTTAGATATCCCATTAAGGTGTCTCTGTCTCAACCTTTTACCCTAGCCCTAACGCTCAGGCAGAGGAACTGTGTGAAGATAGATGAGATGTCAAATAATCAATGGGGCAATTTTAACTTTAAAAAATGTTCTTTCTCAAGAAAAACTAAGATGTAATATACACTGGTAAGATCTTCTTAAAGCGACAATATCTTATTTAATGCATGCAAAGACTTCTGTGAAAAGACAATTTTATAGTTCTGAATGCCATCAGCCAGTGGATTTTTTGGATCCACAGCAACAAAACTAATACTTATTGAGATGTTTCTCATATACTGTATAAATATTTCCTATTTAATTATAATCTTTATAATCTTAAGAGAGAGGTTTAATCAACCCCATTTTACAGACAAGGAAACCAAAGCTCAAAGAGTTCATGTAACTTTTATAAGTTCACAGAGCTAATAAATGATTGATTGAGATAGTCAAATGTCATACTGTTTCCATTTCACCAGGCTATACTTCATAACTACCCTGAACTTCAGTCTCATTTGAGGAATATACACTATGTTTAAATTTCATTATTCTGACTTGATCAACATGATCATATTAACTTTAAACCCCCTTCTCTGCCCAGACTTCATTCTAAAATAGCTTCCTGACATTTGTTTTTACCAAATTCCAATTGATCTTCTACAACCATGTCAAAATTATCTTTCTAAATGCAAACAGAATGATGAGCCCCACACTATCCCCCATATAAAGTTCTTCAATAATTTTCGACAAGCCCAATCACAAATCCAAATTCTTGTCATGAATACAAGGTCTTTCAATGTCTGGCTCCTGACCACTTTTCCACATGACTCCTATGACCCTGTGAGGACAAACTTCCTGTGGTTCTCCCGACTCTTCATGCTCTTATTTTTCTTCCTCTCTTCTTAGAGTTCTCCTCAACTTCTTACATCTGGTGAGCTCTTCTTTAATAGTTAAGTCTGAGCATCATCTCCTCTGGGAAGTATTTCCTGGTACTCCTCTTAAGTGAATTCATTTCTGTCCCAGTATGCTTACTGATATCAAAAATGATCACATTTTACCCTATTTCTTGGCTTGCTATTTTGTCTCCCTCTTTAGGCTTAAAGACGTGGAAAGGATGAACGTAGCTTAAATTATTCACATTTGAGTCCCCATAACCAAGCACCATGTACAGAACATGGTGGGAGGTCAACCTGGGACTCAATAAACGATAGCTGATGAATTAATGGGCATCTCAGATGACCTTCCCTCCACCATGCTGGCCTCTATTAAATTAAATTGCCCTAAGTGTCACTCTGTAGGTTTTACCCTCCACTAAGTACAGCTACCCTGCTGTGCTCACACTGGTAATTCCAGGCTTGCTGGTGAATCACAAGCTGTGGGGGAGACCTTCACCTCCCAGACTGTGGCTGGGAAGCTGCCTACTGCTGGCTTCTCTACATGGAACTTGCCTCTCTCACTTTATATAATAATCACTAACTACTATTGAAAAAAGGATAATTTTTAAAAAGGGTTCTAAGACTTAAAAACAGCCATTTATTTCAGTCTTTAAAAGAGGACACTAAATAATTGCAAATGAAATATATTTAATTTTCCTTTCAAAGTATATTTCAAAAATGAATCATAAAACTGGTCAGCACATAACTATTTAAAGGAGGAGGGAAATGAAAATAATCATGTGCTTTACATTTAGGGACATGAGTCTTCTTTGGTCACAAAAAGTAAAAGAAAAGAGCAACTCAGGAAGAAATATCAATGAACACCTGTTAGCACATTATTAAGAAGGCACTTAGGAAGCTACCATTATTATCTATCATATCATCATTTTCATCAACATTATTATCAAATAGTTATTAAGCACCCAAAGATGCTTGAGCCTATTCCTAATGTTTGCGAGGAAGAGGGGGAGAAAGTTGAGCTAAGACCAAACCATGTAGTTTATGTACCTTACACAAGAGTAGTTGGTGGGTTATAGCATCTGCCACTTCAAGGACAGTACTTACAATCCATTCCAAGTTAACTGGTCAATATCCTTTGTGATCCAAAAACAAAATTGTAATAGTTGGGCTTACTCTCTCCATCACATCTGTATCCATACCAAGTGATCAGCACCCTGTTCCTATTTCAAAGACTAGAAAAACCAACCTCTTACCTCCAGTTTGCTTCTCAGTTTTGTAGACATCCCCCTTGCTATGGCTGTTCCTCGAATATTCGCTATATTGATGTTTTCTGTTTTTCTTTTAAATAATTACGTGAAGATGCTGGGCTGGATTCTGATCACGTTGGCAACAGTGGCTGTCCTAGTGTCCTGCTGTTTGGCACAGTGCTGCTCCCCTCTCACCTCTCTGCAGCAGTGGTACTGGACCAACCATCTCCACAACGAGAGGGAGCTCTTTGAACAAGCTGCAGAGCAACATTCACGGCTCCTCATCATGCAGCGCATACAGAAGCTCTTTGGTTTCATTCCTGGAAAGGAAGATATCAAACACATCCGTATTCCTTCATGTCAGGACTGGAAGGATATTTCAGCACCCAGTCTTGTCTGCATGGGTGATGACTTGCAAGGTCACTATAGCTTCCTTAGAGACAGGGTGGAGGAAGATAATGAGGAAAGCAAACCTGAAGGTATTGAATTAAGACCTTGATTCTAGCACCTCTCACAGTTCAGGTAGTGTCTTATTGTTAGGATGATGGAGTTTCAATGTAATCTCTTCATCTTTTTCTGTCTCTTGATATTTGTTTAAATAAGTCCATTCAAGATGCTAGTTCCAAAGTCACTTTATCTGATCATTGTGCCAATCTGTCTTTTTGAGATTTCCCTGGTGGAAATGGTAATGGTATAATATAGTTCTGGTAACACCTACATTGATTTAAGTAAAACAATATGGAATTTGAAGTCATATAAAAATTAGAATGTCGATTCTATTACTCAGTATCTCTATGGAAACTAAATTTTTGAGCTCCATCTTGTTATCTGTGCATAGTGGCTACTTCATAGAGCTGTTGTGAAGATTAAATGTGATAATATAAGCACAGTACTCAGCACAGTGCCATTCCTAAAATTAGTGCCAATAAATGTTATTTTCCCCCTTTCTCCTTGCATTCCATGTCTTTGATCACTAGTTCTCTGTCTCTAATTTCTATTCCATGTCTTTGATCACTAGTTCTCTGTCTCTAATTTCTAGTTTTCTTTATTTCTACCTCTATATAATATACAGAACCTTTTCACTTACTTCTACCCCTTCCTTTGATTTTAAATATCTGAACTTTACGAATCAGGATAAAAGCCCTTTCTAAGCTGGTAACATGTAAGAGAGAAGCGCATGCAGGAAGGTCTTGAGTTATTCTGCTACAACCAGGGGAAGATGACGCATGAATCTATCATCATTAGTATCATAAATGTTATTTATAGCACCTCCATACCAGGAGCATTTTTATAGCCACAACATATAAAGTTTGTTCTAGAAAGCTTCCCTTCTGTACTCTACTGCAGAGATACATCTGTGCCTTTTCATTATCAATTTTTACCCTTGCTCAAAATCCATTTGGAGAAGTAAGACTGCCATACATAATTGTATATCCTCTATCTACAACTCCAACAGGGAAGACCTGCCTGACTCTTCTCTGTGACTTTACACCCTGAATATTTGACAGTTTTCTAATTTATCCTGGTTATTTGATATATATAGTGTCTTATGCCTCATGGTTCACCCAAGCAACTGGTTCATTGGCCAAAATAAGCAAAATGAGGGCTTTTGTGTATTTTTAAAGCCAAAACAATGGCTGCTTACTGGGTAAAATGGACCAATTCACAATAGTCAAGCTGACTTTTGAGATTCACTTTCAAGGAGACCAGTTACTTGAGTAACTAAAATGCAATCGGTTACTATTTTGCTGTTACACTATCACAGAAGAGTCTATTCTGTGTGCAGTTATGGGTTCCACAAACTTAATGGAAAGAAATAGAAAAAGAAATTTAAGAAGACCATTAAACATTTTTTGTTTAATTAAACAACAAACATTAAACATATATTCATTTTTGAAAGACCAGAGTGTGAGTGGGGCAAGGAGAGAAGGGGACACAGAATCCAAAACAGGCTCCAGGCTCTGAGCTGTCAGCACAGAGCCTAGCACGGAGCCTGACACAGGGCTTGAACTCACAAACCGTGAGATCGTGACCTGAGCTGAGGTTGGACACTTAACCAACCGAGCTACCCAGGTGCCCCAAAGACCATTTTTTTAAAAATCTGTAAGAGATGCACAGTGTAGCACTTTGCTAAGACAGGAGACCTGTCCCTCCCTCGCCATTACTTATCGGGCAAGTCAGTTAGTCTCTCTGGGACTCAACTGTTTCATCCATAGAATATAGATAATGTTTCCTTACCTGTTGTAGGGTAAGGAACTGAAGCAAATGTATTCTTGAGGTTCCTTTTAAATCTGATAAGACTTTTACGTTTATGCTTATATGTATACAGGTCCAAACGTATACAATCTTCTGGAATAATAGTAGGCCCAGGTTGTCTTCATTAGAAGGAAAATATTACTGAGTTCAATTCTTCCTCCAAAGACATTTGCCGGCATTCCACTCTCAAAAGAATGTTAACGTACTGCTATTTATCAAATGGCCAAGGAAAGCCATTCCGCTTTGTCACCTAAATCTGTATACACAACTCATATGACATTACAAGAGGGATCTTTAATAAAACAGAGGTTGTGGAAGGCAACTAGAGTCTTCCTTTGGCTCTGATATAAATGAGCTGTGTAAATATGGAGGGTCACGTCCACTTTGTTCCCCACAGTCTCCTCCAGCACTAAAATTCTATCACTCTATCTGGTAATTTTTGAAATTCCTCCATTTGGGATATAATACTTAAATCCACACTTTACACCATGCTCAGAATTATTTTATTAGTGTTTGGGGAATATGCCACAGTAAATACTCTTTAATGAGATTTTCAGGTAACAGAAAAATCAGAGTATATAAAGTTAAAGTATTATTTCATCAGAAAGAAGACAACAGTTGTTTACACACATTAAACACCAGGAAACTTTCTTTTCACTAGACTCTGGAAACCCTTTCTACATCAAACTCCTGTATATATGACATACAGAGTTAATATTCTAAATCACGTAATTGTGATCTTCCACTATAGCCTTCTAGCAAAGGATTTTAAACATTCGTTTGGCTCCTCCACATGGCTTCAAAGGGCTTTGTAGCATCTGTGAACTTTTGAAGGGTAGTACACATCCATGACATTTCATTGTATGCTATCCATTTCCAATTAAATAAATCAAATTCCCATTTCTATGTGTGTGTGCATGCACATGCTTATGTTTATCTGGAATATTCTTTTGTTCCACAGCCAGTTAGACAAGACTTTTCCATTAGGAACACTGTACTTCCTCCCCTTTATGCCTAATGGATTTATGTAATTTTAAGACACATAATTAAAGTCAATTATGTGCTAATACTACCTTATATTTTGTTACCAAGTGCTTTTGGCTACTACATCAAATGCCGTGGCATATATACGTACTTGCCAATTTCTTAGCTTCAACTTTGTCAGCTCACCATTCTCCCACCACAATCTAAGTTGCTTCCTTTCTAGGAGACAAATACAATCTTAGATGTGTTTTACTCGAGTTTCCTTGTTTTCCAAAGCCAAATTGTGGAATTGTACTTATATTCATCTTCATTGTCTTCAATCTTCAACTTAAAAAAGTCAAGTTCAGGGTTGCCTGGGCAGCTCAGTTGGTTGAGTGTCTGACTCTTGGTTTTGGCTCACATCATGATCCCAGGGTCATGGGACTGAGCCCTGCGTCAGGCTCCACACTGACTGAACGTGGAGCCTGCTTAAGATTCTCTCTCCTTCTGTACCGCTCGCATGCTTGCTCTCTCTTTAAAAAAAAAAAATCAAATGTAGCATTGTAATAAGAAACAACAATGTGAATTTCCAAAGTACTTTTTTGCATTTTGCTTAGCACAAAGGAAAATCACATTAACTTTAAAACTTTGAAAGATCACAGCAAACCAGAGGCCTTCCAAATGCAAGACTAAGAAGTTATTTGCTACCTCAAAATATAAAGTGTAGAGATACAATGTTAGCTTCTACATAAATCTATTAAAATGCAGCCCCAGTCACTAAAGAACAGATATTGGCAGGTATCTGGCAGGCTACACAGCTACAGAACTAGCTCTTTGGGTTGCAGGACACACATCTACAAATGTGACCTGTGGTCTAAAGAGCAGTGAGTGGTATTTCTAGACAGGTAAATTACATCATTCCTGAATGGAATTATTTTTTTCTGTACTAACCATTGAGGACGATTAAACTTCTCTAATCTCAGTACACCAGAACCTTACAAAGAAATGGATTTCGACTGCTGTTTCCTCTGCTGCTCCCCAGCGGCCCAGAGAAGTATCTGCACCCATCTATAGTTTGTGATAGTGTAGTAAACAAAATGCAGGGCTTATTATATGCCAGCTACTTCAAAAGCATTATCCCATGTACTCCTTACAACAAACTGGTAAACAGAATTACATATTCTGATATGACTTGCTGAAACAGAGTTAAGCAACATAGTGTGAAGAAATTTTGTGTAAAGTTCTATACAGATGAAATGTTCTCGATATTTTATGAGATAACTGGGGAACCATGGGTCATAATGGGAACGCAATAAAATAAGTTCCGCCGTTTTATGATTGAGGTAACTGAGGTAAAGAGAAGTCAAGCAAACTTGCCAAAAGACCCATGCTTACAGTGATAGAGCCAGAATCTAGCCTTGGTAGTCTCACTTGTGATATTATACTCCATAGCACTGTGCTGGAATACAGCAATAGGAGACAGCTTACCAACCTTCCAAGGCTTTGTAGGTATCAGGATTCTCCTCCTACATCTGACAATAAATAATGAAAACACTCTGAGCTCCAAAAATATGGTGCTATATCACATTTGAGTCCCTCTCTTTCCACTTCCACTCTACCTACATGTACAAGAGCTTAGCTTCAAGGCATTGTGCTTCCTTTTTTTTTTTTTTAGTTTAGTTTTATTATTTTGTGAGAGAGAGAGAGAGAGAGAGGGAGTGAGTATGGGAGGGTCATAGAGAGGGAGAGAGAGAAAGAATCCCAAGCAGGCTCTGCACTGCCAGCATGGAGCCTGACGTGGGGCTCATGGATGGTGAGATCATGACCTGAGTGGAAATCAAGAGTCAGACGCCCAACTGACTGAGCCACCCAGGTGTCCCAAGGCACTATGCTTCTTAACAAAGTGATTTGTGGACTTTCACTGGCACATAACTTTGGATCTGAGGTACTCAACAGCCAGTGGCAGTAAATCTGTTAGTCACAGACTACGTGCAAGCTTGCTCAAGAGCTTTGGGTTTTCAATGTATGCAGAGAATGGGCAGGACATCACTACAATTTGCCAATTTATTTTCAGCAGCCATAGTTATAAAAAAGTTTGTCAAAAACAGGGGTCAGGAAAACCTCTCATCATCATAGCGTTTTTGTATAAGTCGATCTCTCTGGGACTTTAATGTTCCCTTACATGAGATAGGGGAAGGTGAGAAAATTATGGGAGTGATTAAAGTATTTTAAGTCACAGATCTCTTTGAAATGCCATTTTGGGGAAAGCTATTTTGAAGAAATAGCCAGAAAAACTGTGCATACTCACATACCTCAGAGTTTACATACCATGGTAGACTAAATAACTGCCTCTCCAAAGAAGTTCATGTTATAATCCCTGGGATTTGTGAATGTTCCTTTATACTTTATATGGCAAAACAGGCATTGCAGATATGATCAAGGAAGGAATTTTGAAATGGGGACAGAGGACATTAACCAGGATTATTCTGGTGGGCCTAATGCAATCACAAGTTTCCTTATAAGAGGGGCATAAGAGGAATTAAAGTCAGAGAGAAAGCTAAGTGGCAACCCTAAATGAGTGTCAAGGAGTATCAGAGTGACGCCTGAGAAATTAGTCATTGCTGGCTTTGGAGATGGAAGGGATCATGAACCAAGTAATGCAGACAGCCTCTAGAAGCTGCAAAAGGCAAGCAAATGCATTTCTCCCCTAGAGCCTCCAGAAGGAAAAGAGCCCTGATAACACTTTGACTTTAGCCCACTGAGACCTGTGTCTAATGTGAGTCAGGGCAGAAATATACACAGTTTTTATATTTAACAGAACTATAATAAAAATGCACTGAGTGAAGCCACAAAATTGGTGGTAATTGTTTCAGGGACAGTAGGAAACTAATACACATAGCAACATATTTCAGGAATTTATAAACTCACAAGCTGGACATGGCCTGGGTTAGGGCCTCTTCAAGGTGATTTCTACATATGCTCTGAGGTTCTGCCCTAGCAAGCCAAAACTTGCTCCTGGAAAATAAATACATCTGTAATATGACATTTTATAAATATGTATAATACAATGTGTTCTAATACTTAAAAGTGTTCTAATGTGCAGAAAGAACTGCATATCCATTTTACATGTATTGATAGATGTTTTAGCCTACAAATAAAAAATATTTAAATATATTTTTCTTCTCTAGTTGCCTGTTAGTGACATCAACAGAACTAAATACTGTGAACTCATTCATAACATGGACATATTCCAGCATCTGAAATATGAGGGAAAAAAATGCCAAAGGAAAGAAAAACTAATCTGGATCTAGGTGGTGTTTTTTAATGATATAAATTTTATTTTTTTTAATGTTTTATTTATTTTTGAGAGAGAGATAGAGACAGAATGAGCAGGGGAGGGTCAGAGAGAGAGAGAGACACAGAATCTGAAACAGGCTCCAGGCTCTGAGCTAGCTGTTAGCACAGAACCTGACACGGGGCTCGAACCCACGTGCCGTGATATCATGACCTGAGCCGAAGTCGGATGCTTAACGGACTAAGCCACCCAGGCGCCCCTATATAAATTTTATAAATCAAGTATTATCTAGTTTATGCTTTCCCTTCTTTCACTTTGAGATAGCTTGAATTTGAGAAAGCTATTTTCAAAATATAAATCTTTACCCCAATAATGATTTTATAGGTCCTATGAGGTTCTATCAGACCAGAGAAAGGTCTATATTTTGTGGGGGAAGAGAAAGACAAAAGCAAAACCATCCAAGTGCAGTGCTAGAATACTAAAATTCAGTATGCAATTCAGTAATACCTACCACCGGGCACCGGGGCACCAGGCGCTTTGAACTCCTTCTTGGAAATTTTCTGGAGCCCACTTGCGTGGGACGCTCAGAGCCGGACCTCATCACGTGGACCCACGTCTGGCCTTCCCCAAGCGTGGCGAGCCCGGGTATTTCCCCTTACATTTGGGCACATGAAGAGTGGGGTGGTGGCGGTTACTTTGCTCAATGCGCCACATCGACAGCACCTAGCGTGGGCACCCGCTCAAGCTGCACGCAGCGGATCAGGCAGTCGGCTGGAGGGGCTTGTCAAGTCCTCCCTGTCTTATGACAGACCGGACCCTCAAATCGCTTTCCTCCCTGGCCCCTGATCACGTGGCGACTTTGGGCTCTCCCGCCCTAGTGGAGAGCACCCTCGCCCAGGAATACGACCACCGGACTGGATCCGCCTGCCTGGAAGGTAGGGTGCAGCTGACAATGATAGAGATACCATTCTAGGGATGCAGTGATCATGACCTAAATAAATCAGGAAAAGACATAGCTGGAAGTTGTGTAGTGGGTTTAGCGTGCCTAGAAAACAAATGATCATTCACGTTTCTCTGCATTTGCGGACATCATGAAGAAAGTACGTTCTTTGAGAAAATCACTGGAAGCCAGCATGGAGGAGCAACATGATGGATGATGGAACTTACTGAGCAATGATGTCACAATAATGGTACTGGGATGCTGTAGAGACAAGAACTATATTGTTTCTGTAGAAGTTACAAAGAGTCATGTCATTATGAGTAGTAACAGCACCGCCACTTTGTTTTTCATGGTGGGAAATAGGAGTTAGGAATAATACATTTGATGATAAAGAACATGAAGAGATAGTGCATGGACACTAGAGAGAATCTTCATGCTCAATGATCAAACAATAAACAAAGGCGTAAGTGCTTCTATTATTCTAAATCTTTGTCGGTAATTCACCATGTCTTATTGGGCCCCTGAAGTTTAAAATACATTTTTAATAAAATTGCTTTTATAGGCAGACACTCCACAAAACATGTTTTTCCGGAACCCTTCACTATATTTTCTCACATGAAGCCAAAAAATAATTTGAATTAAATGTTAATTTTTTGTTTTAACTCACAAGTTCCTTTTCCTTCTACTTTTTAAGTAATTTATATGTCTCACGAATCCTATCTTCTTCCATACTTTTTGCTCCTTCATTTTCTCTCCTCCTTCTCCATCCAGTCCCTTTCAAATCCAAAGCAAAGGTGTTTTGTGTGTGTGTGTGTGTGTGTGTGTGAGAGAGAGAGAGAGAGAGAGAGAGAAGAACACAGAGAGAGAGAAAGAGGGAGGAGGAAGAAGAGAAGGAAAAGTCAAAAGGAAGATGGAAATGATCAAAATGGTTCCTGCTGGGTGGGAGAAAAGAAACATGTAAAATGGTATTTCTTGTTTGCCCATCTCATACTTCATCCTTACAGGTAAGATAATGTTGAAAAGGGTAGACCGCTTAAAACTAGAGTGTTGTCCCTGCTTTGCTGTTGCCCAGAACAAAGGCCCCCATCTGTTATGTGGTTCAATGACATTAGCCTCTAAGCTGTTAGAGTAAACAAACTCCACCTACAGACACAACTGTTTCGGCCAAGACACCTTGGGTCAGAGATGTTAACTGCTAACT